CGTGGGGCTGCAGCCCCACAGAGACACCCCACAGGGACACCCATGGAGGGACTCCCACCCAGGGACGTGCACACAGGGGCACCCACCCAGGGACACCCACCAAGGGACTCCCACCCAGGGACACCCATGGAGGGACACCCACACAGGGACATGCACACATGAGTGCCCACTCGGGGGCACCCACTCATGCACCCTCACACAGGGACACTCACTCAGGAGTACCCATGCAGGGACACTGAAACAAGGACATCCACCCAGGGACACCCACTCAGGGACACCCATCCAGGGACATGTGCACAGGGGCACCCACCCAGGGACACCCATGGAGGGACACCCACCTAGGGACACCCACCCATGCACCCCCACACAGGGACACCCATGGAGGGACACTAGGGACACCCATCCATGCACCCCCACACAGGGACACCCAGAGAGGGGCACCCACCCAGGGGTACCCATGGAGGGACACCCACCCAGGGACACCCACCCAGGGACACGTGCACAGGGACACCCAAATGGGGACACCCACCCAGGAGAATCCATGCAGGGACCCCACCCAGGGACACCCACCCAGGGACACCTGCACAGGGACACACACACACGGGCACCCACCCAGGGGCACCTCCCGAAGGCACCACCCAAGCTGCTTCCCCCCAGCCGTGTTACGGCTGAATCCTGTAACTGGGCACCCAGCGGGTACTGGTGCCTGTGGGCAGGGAACGGGCAGGCACTGGTAGCAGGTCCAGGCCTGGGGACAGGAGCTGCTGGGGCGGGTGTGGGTGACAGCCCCGGGGACCTCAGACCACCCTGGAGCACCACCTGTGCTTCCCTTGCTGGCTTCTGAACTTACTGAACGGGAAAACACAAGCGTGGAAGGTGTTTGAAAGCAAGAGTGGTGACTGAGGTCACCTTCGGGGTTTTGGAGACCAAATCGCTCCGTTTGAGTGCAAGTACACTGCTGGGCCAGGATGTGGCTCCCGCAGGATTTCCCCACCACGTGCTCTGTGCCCTTCTGTGACGTGGGGCTGGGTCACACCTTCACCTGGTGCTCAGGACAGGCGGGTGAGCAGCGCTGAGCCCAGAAGGGGACGTGTCCATCATGTACAGCCTGGGGTGGTACCCTTCATCGATGGGAACCACAGAGAGAAGAGCTGCTCTGAGCAGTGGTGCCGCATCCTGTGGGTCAGGCACCCTCTGCACCATATGGACAACAGCAGACTCATCCCTTCCAGCTCCTACCATGGAGAAGGTGCTGCCATGGGAAGCCAAGATGACCCCGTCCAGCTGCCAGCCCAGAGGGATGCCAGCAGAAAGACACCCCCGTCTTGGGATGTCCTCTTTTGGGATGTCCATCGCTCCTCTTGGGGGTGTCCCGCTCATCCTTGGCTCGGCACAGCACGTGTGTGTGCATCCCCCCAGGGACCTGGGTGCTCGTGGGGCACAGCAGCCCCCAGGGTCACCGTGTCCTGCTCTGTCTTTCTCCACACAGAGCTTGTCTGCAGTGGGTGTTTGATGGCACCCTGGTGCAGGAACCAGCCTTGGGGCCGCTTCTCCCTGCCAGGCTCCACCACCTTTGCAGGGGGTGCTGCAGCTCCCCTCCCTCCCCTCCTTTCTGCTCACAGGGACGAAGATGGGTCTCCATTTGGGTATTGAGAAAGGCTGCAAAAAAACTTCTTTTATGGTAGGTTTTCACTCTCTGCAAAGCAGCTTGCGTGGTGTGATAAAGAGTTAAAAAGAAAAAAAAAAAAAAAAAAAGAAAAAAAAAAAAACAGAAAATTCCTTAAAGCATTTGTTTAGTTGCTGGTAAATCTTCAATATGCCGGGTGAAGCTGTACCCCCAAATTGCTATTGCTCCGTCAGCGCAAGTGCAGTACGGGCTGGGGAACCACAGGGCAGGTGTGGGGACAGCCCTGGGCGCAAATCCTGGCTGCTGCAAGGCTGTCGCCGCGCCGCGGGGTGCGTCCCCTGCCCCAGCCACCCCTCTCCCCCGCGGTGCCCTCCCGCCCGCCAACCAGGGCCATCACCGGGCAGCGTGCGTCCGTCCTGCCCAGCCTGGTCCTGGTGGGTGACACCGCAGAGCCCCCCCTGGACACACCACCGGGGTCTGGGTCAGCCTCCGGGCCCAGGTAGGACCGTCCTTCCGAGCGGTCTGCTTTTGCTCCCGTCCTTTGAAAAGAAGCTGTATCAGTCTTCTGGCTAGTTGAGTCAACGGGGAAATGGTCCCAGGGCTCAAACACCTGCCCAGGGCTGGGCCGTGAGCCCTCCCGCACTCCTGGGGCTGCCGATACGGGCGGTGTGGAAGCAGCTTTGGGAAAAATCCTACCGGGTACCTGAGTGCGGCATTTGGGGAGCCTAAATCCTCGGGCAAACCCAGGCTGGAGCAGGAGCCGGGCTGATGGAGCCGTGTGGGGCGAGGGGCCGGGGCTGGGCTAAGGGCCTGTCGGTGCTGAGCCCCCCAGCCAGCCCTGCTCCGGGCCAGGCCCATTGACATGATAATACTATTAAACTTCAGCAATTTGAAAAACAATAAGCTGGCAAGAGCCCGAAGGGGGATGCTGGAACCCCCAGGCAGCCTCCGAGGGTGCGCTGACCTGTCCCAGGCAGGACTCCCCTCCACCCTTTGCCCACCCTCTGGTATTTAAGCTGAATTTTTGGCAAGGAAAGTCGGATTTGTGGCCGACTGGGCCGGCTGTTGGCTGCAGCCCTGCCCTTGGCGCCCGGCTCTGACTCCCCAGCAGTGGGGGTCCCGCTCCGGTCTCAGGGCCACCAGACTGCCCGCAGGCTGGGATTCCCCCAGTAGGACTAGTCCTGGGAGTGGTGTCAACAGGGCTTTTTTACTGGTGAACAGCCTGCCTTTGCTCTGCAGAAGCCAAGGCTCTGCAGAAGCCAAGGCTGGAGTCGCGGTGGCATTAATTAGGAGGGAAAGGATAACCGGGTTCATCCTTCCCCTGCTCAAGGGTGGAGTGGGAGCCTGGGCCTGGTGTGGTCCTTCACCCACCTCCCGCAGAGCCTTGATGGCAGGTTTAAGGGTTTAAAAGCGATCGCCTCTTGCTCAGTGAGGAGGCTGACGTTAGAGCACTGGTTAGGGCCGGTGCGGTGTGTGCCGGCTGGGCACCGACTGGGAACAAGCAGTGCCAGGAGAACACCCAGTGTCCAACTCTTCGTGTCACGGCCCCGCAGCGCCCGGCTCAGCCCCAGCCAGCTGCACCCTGCGCTGCTTCACCACCTCCAGCCCCGCGGGCTCTGCCCGGCTCTGGCACCGGAGCCCCGTGCTTGAGTGCCGCGGTTCCTCCATCTCCTCCTGCCCCTTCCCATGGGACTGCTCTGCTGATCCCTCTCTCAGCGGGTACTGCCATGTCCTTTGCCTCTCTGATATTCCCATAACCTGTGCCGTTGGGCATGGAAAGAGGAGCTGTAGTGCTCTGGGGGCATCAGGATGGAGCTCACAGCGCTGGAGAATGTCATTCTTGGGTCAGGGTTTGGATGAAGCCTCCCTGGGCAGCATAGACAGCTCTTGTTCAGGCTAAGGGAGGGAATAACTCCTGTGGGGAGAGCTGGCACAACAGGAGCTGCCATCCAAGGCTGCTCCCGGACCCCTGGCTGGGTTGCATGTACTAGCAGGAGCGAGAGCTGGAGAAATGGGCCAAAAGAAACCTCCTGAATTTCAACAAGAAGTAGAAAGTTCTGCCCCTGGGGAGGATGAGCCCCAGGCACCAGGATGTTCCCCGGGGGCCACCCAGCTGGAAAGCTAAAGCTTGACAGAAGAGACCCTGGGTGTCCTGGTGGACACCAAGTTGACCATGAGCTGGCAAAGGCAGCAAACGGTGTCCTGGACTGCCTTAGGAGGAGTGTCACAGCAGGGGGAGGGAGGGGTCCTTCCCCTCTGCTCAGCACTGGTGAGGCCACCCCTGGGGCACTGGGTCCAGTGCTGCGCTCCCCAGTACAGAGAGACAGGGACATACTGGAGAGAGGTCAGCAAAGGGCCATGAAGGTGATGAAGGGACTGGAGCATCTCTGCTCTGAGGAGAGGCTGAGAGAGCTGGGACAGTTCAGCCAGGAGCAGAGCAGGCTCAGGGGGATCTCATCAATACCTGGAGGGAGGGTGCGGAGAGGACGAAGCCGGGCTCTTCCCAGGGGTACCCAGGGACAGGACCAGAGAGACAAACTGGAACACAGGAGGGTCCCTCTGAACATCAGAAACACTTTTCCACTGTGAGCAGCTTTTAGATTGACCCAAAAGGATGGTTATTTTCTTAACTTGGTGCCTCCGTGCCCCAAGCAAACGTGTCTGAAATTAAATGTGTCATTTTATTTTGGTGTGATTTAATACCTTTGAAATGGCTGAGTCAGGTCAGGTTGCCCTGCTGGCCATGCTGCTGGGGATGCAGCCCAGGGTGCCGGTGGCTTTCTGGGCTGGCAGTGCACATTGCCAGCTCACATCCAATTTCTCACACACCAGTGTGCACAAGTCCTTCCCTGCAGGGCTGCTCTCAACCATCCAGCCCGTGCTGGTACTGGGGGTTGCCCCAACCCAGGTGCAGGACCATGCACTTGCCCTGGTTGAACTTCATGAGGTTCACATGAGCCCAAAGAGTTTGGGAGTTTGCTGATGTTTCTTTCTCCCTCTTTGCATGGAGTGGTTGACCAAATTGGGTGAAGTGTTTTTGGGGAACGCATAGTTGGCAGCACAGTAGAACTGTCCCACCTGCTTGTGTTGGTGGCACCGGGGGCCTCCCAAGAGCATCAGCTGATGGACGATGTGAGCCGATGCGATGGGAAAGGCTGCCCGCCGGCCACTGCACTGCTGGAAAAGCCAAGAAGCCAACAGCTGAGCAAAACCAGGGGAAGGGGCTTAGTTAGTACCAGGACTGAGAAAAAATAATGAAGCATAGAAAGGGCTCTGAGCACTGCCACACAAACTGTCATGTCTCCCGGGGTCCCGTCTCCCACCGTGGCTAGAAGCAGGTGCTGAAAGAGGGTGAGAACAGAGCCCGTGGGAGAGATGCTCCTGGGCACAGATGCCCTGAGCCAGACATGGCTCCTGCGTGTCCGGTGATGCCCGTGCGCAGCCCAAGGAGGGGCGGGAAGCAGCACCATCCCCACGCTGCCACCCCACTCCTATGTCCCCTTGCCAGGCCAGAGAGCTCAGCCTGCCCGGGCTCTCCTCGGCTGCAGGCTGGTCCATGCTGCCAAACCTCTAAGCCGCCCTTCTCAGGACACTTCCACTTGGGCTGTAACTCTTTTTTACATTCAAAGTGTGGGTGATAAAAGGACGTAGGCAATGGCCGATCAGTGGTCTCTCTTTTAATCTCCTTTCTTTTCCTAGTAATTCCTAGCATGTGATTTTCTTTCTCCTTTTTTTCTTGATTTTGACAGCCGCTGAGCTCCGACCTTTCCCTGGGGCTGTCTCAGGGCACTCGGAGCCCGTCGTCTCACCCGTGAAGTCAGGGTTGATCTTCCCCATGTGCTTCACTTTCTATCAACCCACCTGCATTCCGGTACTTTTTGCTCAGCCTCTGAAGTCCTGCAAGACAGCTCCATCTTTGATACCCAAATAACTTCTTGATGCACCTGCAAAGAGCTCCCTGGGGGGGGCGGGAGGGGAGGCAGGACTCCCTTTTGCAAGGACCATATTTACTCTTCCCATATGTTCACTGCTTTGTTGGCATCGGGGTTGAAGGATGCCCTCACCTGAGAGTCCTGTGGTGTAACTGCGGCTGCGCCGGTGACGGGGGCAGCTCAGACACAGCAGCTTTAGTAGCTGCTTGAAACAGCACTTCTGAAAGCCCACACTGGAGCCTCTGGCAGCTCTCTGCTGAGGGCCAGCAGTGCCCGCAGCTGGTGGTGGCCGGCCACCGAGTCCATCCCACTCCCACCACTGGGAGAACCTGGGCTGGTTGCAAAGCTGATCCTTTGGGGTCAGTGGGGGCTGAACATCACTCCTGGATGCAGCTACCTCCAGAAAAGAGTTTGCCCACAGCGTGGCAGAGACCTTGCAGAAGCTGGAGGCCCTTTCCCACACCACTTGGTTTATCTCCAGCATCAGACCATCTGTCCCAAAGTGAGCATCTCACAGACATCTGTGAGATGTTCACTTCGGTGCGTGTCCCAGTGAAGGGGGCTTTTTAAAAAGCATCCTGCCCTCCAGCAGCCTTCAGGCCTGGGACTCAGCTCTGGAAGTGGGAGAACTGTAGGTTTTTCTCTGGCACAGCAGGGAATTAGGGAAGGATCTTGGCATCTGCAAGCCTGGAGGTGGGCTGGTTTGGGGCTGTTGCTGCAGAGCACAAACCGTGACCCCAGGGAGCTCCCTGGGAGAGCACGCCTGCAGCCTTTCACATCTTGGTGTCCCTGATAACTTGGTTCATCTTTCCTTGTGTTGCTGGTGCCTGCGAAATAGAAGCACTGAGAACTACGGAGAAGCTTTTCAACCATGGGTCATCTCCCAGATGAGAGCATCTCCTGGGGCCTGGCAGGTCTCTGAGCATGGATGGGGCTTCTGACCGCTCTGATCCCAGTACTATATGCCCACGGAGCTCCCGCAGACCCTGTCCCAGCTTTCCCAGTGTGCTGAGAGCATCTCCGTCATGCACTGTGCTCTCACCAGGTTCTGTGGGTTTCTCATCACATTTTCCCCCATTTTAAAGAAAGAAATTCAGGAAACTCATCCTTCCAGGGCAGGGAGATGGGCTGACTTCAAGCAGCACTTTAGAGAGCAGCTTTGCAAGGCGGGAGCCCCCCGTGCTCCCATACCCTTGTCAGGGTGGTGTCCCCCCCAGGGGGACAACCTCCCTCCTCATTTCTTACCCTCTCTGTCCCTTACCCCCACCCCTGGCTGCTTAGGGTGACACAAAAGGGTGGCCAAACCCCTGGGAGCCCGAACCAGGTGACAGGGGAGTGTGGGCAGCACCTTGCCAAGTGTATCTCAGCCCACCCATGTGCCCACCCCGACATGGGGGGCAGAGCAGAGCGACCCTCATCCCATCGGCAAAGGCAGAAAATGATGCTCAAGCCAATCTTACCCAGATTTGGAGCGATTTGGCTTTGAAAACAGGCTGCCCCAGTGGAAAGGGCCCCAGTTTGCAACAGCAGTGAGATGGGGAGATGCAGTGCCCAAATCCATCCCCCAAACCCACCAGGCAGATGGGCGGCGCGGCACTGCTCCACGAGGGAGCCACACACAGCACATCCCCATATCACACCCATCAGGTTTTATATGCCACGTCGGCTTGTCGAATCCCTCAAATCACAGGCTCTAAAGCCATAAAACAGCCAGGGAGGAAGAAACAAAGTGGGTTTTCTTTCATGAAGGAAGGGAGTGTGGGAGGAGAGGGGAGAGGCGCTTTCTCTCTGTGCTACGGCCCCACGATGCTGATCGCTGGGGCTTGAGCTGGCCAAAATCCCCACAGGCCAGTGCTCACCGGGGATGCTCACCCCAGCCCCAGGGACCAGCGGTATGGTGGCTTTGAGGGGTCAATGGCTGCCTGGGGGGGGGGTCACAGCCAGGCTGGGGGTCCCAGCGGAGCGAGCCTGTGGGTGGGAGAGGTGATGGGAGGGGAGGTCTGGGGCTGATGGATGGGCACACGCTGGTGTAGTGACGGGAGCGCTTCCCCTCCAAGCGTGACCCGATGCGGGGTGCCGGTCCTGGGAGGTGTTTCCCATGGGGGGAGCCTGCTGTGGGGCAGCAAGGGGAGCCGAGGGGCAGAGGGGGTGCGCAGGAGGAGGCAGAGGGGGTGAGCGGCCCCGGGCTCTAATCGTCCTTGTCCTTGGCCCCGTGCTTCAGGATGCGGGTGAACTCCACATAGTTGAAGTTGCCCTTCTTGTCAATGGGCGCCTCCCGGTACATCTCATCCACCTCCTCGTCAGTGAACCTGTCTCCCATGGTGGTCAGCAGCTCACGCAGATGGTCCTCGTGAATGAAGCCTGCAGGGATGGCGGGGGGGTGGGGTGGCGTTAGCAGGGGACACTGTGAGAGCGCTGAGGAGCAGGACCTTCCCTGCCTCTCCTGAAGATACCCCTGCCCAGCTTTCCCACTCTGGAGCTGCTTGGGGACTATCCTAAAGGATTATGGCCCCAGCCCTCGTGCTGGCTGCATGCCCGAGGGGATGGCGCCCCGGGGCTGTGCAGGCAGTGCCCGTACCTGACGCCTCCTCGTCGAAGCAGGCAAAGGCGTTGCGGATGACGTCCTCTGGGTCGGTGCCGTTCAGCTTCTCCCCAAACATGGTGAGGAACATGGTGAAGTTGATGGGCCCTGGTGCCTCGCTCATCATACCCTCCAGGTACTCGTCGGTGGGGTTTTTCCCTGCCGGACACAGGCAGGGGTGTGGGTGCAGGGCTCTGTTCCCCCCCTCAGCACCCATCCCCAAGGCCAGCCCATGCACCCGGCCGGATGGGGTTTTATTCATTGCAAATGAATTTGCTGGTGCATGTTCACCCACCCCACGAACACAGGAAGGGGGCTTCCACTGTGACCAATTCTCCCCCCTTGACATCTCTCCCCATGCTTTAATCCATGCCGGAGGCCATCTGGAACCAAATTCTGCCAGGCTTAGCCTCAAGGGAGATGATGGAATTCATCTGGGGGTTACCAAGAACTAAACCCACGGCTTTTCCCTGTTCCCCTGGCCACTGACACCCAGCACCACCCAAGGAGAAAGGCGGCAATGTCCCCACACGAGCCTTGTGCTGCTGATGTCCCTAGCACTGCTTCTACCATGGATGCACCAGGGATGGTTTAACCTCCTCTGCTGAGGTCCACGTGTCCCCAACACCTGGCCCCTCACTGCTCTGGAGCTACAGCTCATGGGGAGGAGGGAGGTCCCTCCCATGGCCAGGCAGGACCTCCAGAACAGGTTTGGCTGCCAGGTCAATCATTGACAGACCTCCCAAAGCGCCGTGGAGGTACCGCAGGGAGCTGGAAGTGGGAGCCGTGGCCTGCAGCGAAGGAGAATGGGCTCTGCGTAGGGAGCACAGCCAGACCTGCAAGTCTCAACTGGCCGAGGTACATGCCGGCACAGGGACTGGCCTCTTCTGTCACCCAGGCTGAGATCAATGGGAGGGCTTTGTCCTGCAGGGGATGACCCCAGGCGACATTCTGGGGTGAGACTACTCGAATACTTAATGGCTGCTGCTGGCGGTTGCTCCTAGAGCAGAGCTTCTCCAACCCCAAAGGTCTCTTCCTTTGTAGTCAGCACGGCTGAAAGAGCAACACACCGAGCTGCTGCCCTTGGGTGCCTCCACAAACACACCTACCGTCAGCTGGTGCCAGCAGAGAAATCCCCCCCCCAGTTTTGCAGCCAGCATCGCGCTGGCCCAAAGCAGGAGGGTGGTGCCTCAATGGCATCCCACCAAAGCTGGGTGTGAGGCACTAGGTCACCCAGCAGCCGAGGAGGTGCTGAGGACAGAGGGGCTAAAGGGACACACGGGAGGACGAGGGAAGGGTCTCCTCACCGAGGGAAGCCAGCATGTCATGAAGATCCTCCTTGTCAATGAAGCCGTCACGGTTCTGGTCAATCATGTTGAAGGCTTCCTTGAACTCCTGGATCTGCGACTGGTCGAACATGGCGAAGACATTGGAGGTGGCGCGCTGGGGGCGCTTCTTGGTGGTCTTGGCTTTGGCACGTTTGCTGGACATCTTGGTAGCTGGGGTGGTACCTAGGGGCAGGGCAGCAGGCAGGAGCGTCAGGAGGGCTGGGGGCAGGCAGAGCTCGGGGAGAGCAGAGGTGGGGACACACAGTTCCAGTCCCGTGCCTCAGTTTCCCTGGCTGTCACAGTTTGGCAACAGTGAGATAAGGCGGTTGCAGGGTCGGACATGGGGACAGGCGAGACCCAGGCTGTAATCAGTCCCCTGGGAAGTCACACGAGCAGGCAGCGCCTGCTGGCACACCCTCCCCAGGGCTGTCCCCACGGGCTGCAGGCAGGGCTGCCTCTCTGCTCCGGGTGCTACCTGGGAGCTCCCAGGGCTCCCTGCCCACTCCCTCAGCCCCCAGACCCCAAAACCCGCTTGCCACCTGGCCCCTTTGCAGCCCAGGCATGGGGAGAGATGCCAAGCCCAGTGCCCAGCATCCCCCCACTGCCCTCAGTCCCTCCTCTGGCAAGGCTCCCCCAGCCCTCCCCAGCCCGGTTCCCGGGGCGATGGGGCTCCCTGCGCACCCTCCATTTCACTGCGCAAGAGCAGCCCCCGGCCACGTCCCCGGGAGGTGGGCTCGGCACAGCACCCAGCACCCAGCAGGAAGGGGTTATCTGCTCCGGGCACATTCCTCACATACCACCGCCTCCCTTCCCCCTCCATCCTGCCTTCCATCCATCCATCCATCCATCCATCCATCCATCCCACCTCCTGCCTCCGCCGGCAGGGCCAAAGGGCCACTCACCACCTCCCTCCACGCCATCATGCCCGGGGAGCCCATGGGAAGGGCCCCAAAGTGGAGGGGAGAAGGGGCTGGTGAACCTCTGGGGCAGCTGCTGAGCCCCTGCGGGACAGGGGCAGAGGGGCTGAGAAAACGCCAGGACTGCGGGGGCTGAGGACTGGTGCTGTTGTGACAGGTAATGAATGGCAGGAGAAGGGAAGAGCCCGGAGGGGCAAAGAGAGGGGCAGCATTGGGATAAACAGACCTTTGGGGACACAGCTGGGGCAACGTGTGTCCCATAGGGACCCCAAACACCACCTGAGGCAAGACTGCGGCAGGAAAACATGGTCTTTCAAAGCGGGGATTCCTGCCCCCAGCCTGTGCTGGTGAGTGCCCAGCAGAGCCGGGCTGGAGCAGAGAGCCCGTTCCCACCAGCGAGATGGAACCCAAGCCCCTTCACTGCCTCCAAGCAGTGCTTTGGTGTCATCCCCCCACGCCGCCAGGCCGAGGGATGCAGTTGGTGATTAAGACAGCCTGCACCATGGGTTCTGGGTCCCAAACGGGATCCGTACGGGGTGCTCAACACCCCCAGTGACCACCGGTGTTGCCTGAGAAGGGGATGCCCAGACCTCTTCCAGTCAAATCCCGGCAAGAGTAACTCAGCAAGATGCCAGCAAAGACCAGGCTGGCAGAGGGACGGTGCCAGCTGCCCGCTCAGCATGGCCTCGCAGGAAAGTCTGGGGTGAGGTCAGCCCATGGCAGAGACGCTGCTCAGAGCCGTCATGTTTCTACAGCAGCCACTTCTCCCTCAAATGCAGCCCCGTGCCTCAGTTTCCCCACCTGGATCAGCATCTGGCATGGGGAGCAGCTACAGGGGCAATGTTAAATTAATGGCTTATGAATGAATTCCACGGGGGAATTCCACAGCAGAATTCTTCTGCGTGCCCCTTGCTGTGGTGGGCAGCAGGGCTGCCTGGGTTCCTGCCCTCTCTGGCAGGGGACACGGAGCAGCTGAGGACCCGCAGCATCTTGTGTGAAGCAGCACAAAGCAACACCACCAGCAAGCTGCGGGCCAGAAACCGTGCCCGGCTGCTCCGGCCACCCTGCGCGTGTGTTCCAGGATCCGCTTCCCAGCTGGGTCCTTAATGCTGACGCACCCGGGGGGACTGTAGGGCCTTGGGGAGCATCTCCCCCAGTGGGACCCCAGCGCTGGCACAGACTAGGGGCGAGCAAACAGCCTTCTCCTGCACCCACACAGCTCCTGCCAGCACTCCCCAGGCCGTACCTGCTCTCCAGCTTTTTCCCTCCCCTCCTGCTATCCCTATTTCAAGGGGCTGCAGCAGTGGGGGCTGGAGTGTTCCCCAGCCTGGTCCCCACCCTGCTGCAGACCCCAGGCTGCCCTCGCTGTACTGTGCTGGAAGGACATCCCGGGGGCCACGTGAAGTGCCAAATCCCAGCTATGGTGTCGGTTCCTGCCCAGCACCGTGGTGCCCAGCCAAGCTCAGAGGGGGCTGGGGACTGTCCCCCGACCCTGACACCCACTCCCATCCCACTGCAGAAGCAGTGCACCATGCCAGAGAGCCTGGCAGCACCCGCCGAGACCGAGCTGGGCCCTTCATCTGCAGGGCATGTGCTCCGTGTCCCCTGGGAGACAGTCCCCTCCTCGTCCCCCCTGAGCCCCAGTGGCTGCAGCTACCGGGATGGAAACAGCACTGCCCTCATCCCCCTCCCTCACGCTGCCCCGGCTGGCACCCAGCCATCAAATCACCCCGCCATCCCCCAAATGCTCCGTCCTTTCCCAGTTGCCCACCAGGAAAGTGATGTTTGTCACCAGCCAGTGGAGGAAAGCAGCAGGACTGGGGAACCCCACCGTGCCCACAGCCGGGTGGGCAGGAGATCTTACCTCCCCGCAGCCCATCTCTTGCCCGCTGCTTCCTCCAGCATCACTGCACCATAAAGCTCTTTGCAACCGGACTGTCCCTTTGTGCGTGCCCTGCCAGACACCAGTGTGCGCTGCCAGCCCAGAACCGTCCCCCGGGCAGCGGCGTGGGGAAGCTCAGCTGAACACAACTTCGCTGTGCCGGGTTGGAGTCAGCAATAAAAGCTGTGCCACTGGCCCACGGCAATGGGCTGAGCTTTCAAAACATGCTGAATTATTAGCAGAATTATTAGCAGAAGACTAGAGAAATAAGCGGGAGTTTTGCTCTCACCACATGAATTAATATTATCCAAATATTTACCCTGCCCTGGCTGTGACCAGCAGCAGAAGCACGGCTTGGCACTCTCTCCAGAGAGATGGTTCTCGTTAGGGGGATTAAGTGCGATTTTGACAGTACATGGTTTTGCTGTTTGATACAAAATATGGCCTGGAAAGATGCTCGGTCCCGAGGTCCAGCTCTGCCTGGTCATCTCCTCAGCATTCTATTTCTGCTGTTAGGAGACCTCCTCGGGCTGGCTGGGACTGGGGAAGAGACTTTTTTGGGTCAGTGCAGGGAACGGCGCCTCTTGGTGAGACAGAAGGGATTTGCAGCGAGGCCTGATCCGACAGGGGCGGTCCATGCCCTGCACGAGGGCTCGACGGCCACACTCCCCTGGTCTTCCAGCCCATGCTTTCTGGGATTCCCAAAAGCCCCATGCCCAGACCGTTTCAGGGACCGCCTGGCCATGATGCGCTGCATGCTGGGATGGATTCAGCTGAGCCAATTGAAGCCACCAAACCTCCAGCGAGAAGGAAACTTGGGGAGACTGGTCCTGTTCCCGCCACCCCCTGCTGAAAGTCCCATCCCAGTGCTGCTCCAGCCCAGGAGCTGCTGGTCTCAAGCAGCAGAGCCCGGGAGGTTCGCACTGGGGCGCGACTCCCACCAGCCTGGCATGAACGCCCTGTGCCAATCCGATCACCACACTCGCTCTGTCACCAGCTGCCCTTGTTCCCTCGTCCTTCTGCCACTGCTCCTGCCGAGACGGTCTCCCTGCGTCCAGGCTAGTGCCTTCCCCCCCACCCCCCAAGAGTCAGACCCAAAGTGCCACGGCGCTGCCTTAAAAAGTTCTTAAGTTAGTAAAGAAAATAGTTTCGTTTTAAAGAGAAAGAGCGAAGACCCACAGTTATCAGAAAAATAAACTGCCATGTGTTTCCTCCTCAGTAAAAACCAACCGAGCAACTCCATCCTGGTGCCACTTCCTGACCGTGCTGGGAAGGGTGGGATAAGCCACAGGGACACGGCAGTGCTGCCAGGGCAAGTGGGCCCCATCCCGACCCCGTCCTCCTCCCTCCTGCCCGCTTCCACCCTGCCCTACCCCGCATCTTCTCCTGTGCTGCTCCAGCTCGCTATCCCAGCTGGAAAACAACAGCGGGGAGCGGCTGCCGGGCCAGCGGGCTTGTGGCAGGTCTGGCTGGCACCAAGGAGGGCTGTCCAGGCGGGTAGGGGACGGGGCAGCTCCCCTTGTGGTGGCAGCAGCCTGTTCCCAGGCCCTGGAGTCTTCCCGTGTATTCAGAAGCTATGAGCACCCGGAATACCTGCTAAGAGTTTCCCGAGGGCGGGTCCTTCAAAACCTGGCCATGCAACTGCAGGAGCCACCTCTAAAAGTGCTGATGAAGCTCCGGCATGGCGTGGGGCTGCCCCGCAGTCTCCAGCACAGCCGGAGAGGGACATCATCTGCCAGATGCTTTTGGTCAGGGTAGGGAAATTTTTTTCTGGGCTGTGCCAGGGGACAGCCCTGCAGGGTGAACGACGGGCCCTCGGAGGGACGGTGGTTAAACCTGCCCAATGGCTCTTCCCAAAATCAGTTGCTGGTACCAGCGAGCCACAACACAGCTGTATGTACTAACGGGCAAGCACTGGCCCTCCACCACGCACAGCCAGCCACATCTCGACACGTTACGGCACGGTGTAGCCCAGCACAGGCAGCGTTTCCCATGCTCTCTCCCAGGGTGGTGCAAGGGCCAACGTGGGTGATGGTTTGCAGCATCCCGCACTGGCACAGGAGGCACAGGGCAGCGCTGCAGCCAGAGCATCCTTCCACCCGTAAAGCTTTGCCTCCTGCCAGGCACCTCTCCCAGCGCCAGGACTGCCCAGGAGTGGACACCCCACCTCCGGAGCCAGCGGAACACACGAACCAGGTTGTCGTACACTGGAGGAGTGAGCAGGGAGCAGCTCATCTTCCCTGCCTGATTTGTTGTTAGACCGTCCCTTCCCTCCAGCACGGCCCTGCTCAGGATGCCCTTGGGATGTGGCATTGCTCAGCTCCGTCCTCACTGCCAAGGGCTGCTGGTGCCAGGGGAGTCACGCTGCCGGCCAGAGGCACCAGGAGCTGCAGGAGGAGCCCCCCTGTCCCTCTCGGCACTGCAGGAATGGAGGTGTGCTGCCATTCCGCTCCTTTTTTGGCCTTATTAGAGATGGATGTGGGAAAGGGAGTTTGGAGGCAAGGGGAAAGCGCTGAAGCCGGCGAGCAGGTCTCATGTGCAGGTGGGAAGGAGCAGGGCAGTGTCAGGAAGCCAGAGCCAAGTGTGCAGCGACTCCCAGGAGGGAGAGTTCATCCCAGCCCTCCCTCGGAGCTGGCCAGGTCCATGTGCAGCCGGTGGGCTCGTCTGCAAGCTTTGGCAGACGGTTTCTGGGCTAGCTCCTTCCCACTGAGTTTAGGGGACAAGGACCTCCCTCACCATGCCCATGTGGCACACACAAAGCCCTCCAAAGTGCAGCTTTTGGGGCCACCATGAGAAGACCATGCACAGACACCATCACCACCCAAAACACCCAGTGCCCTTCTGATGCCCGAGCAGACTGGGAAACAGGATCACAGGGCAGAAAGTCTTCATGGCCTCAGGCCACCAGCATAACATGCCCTGGACTGGGTTTGATATTTTCCCAGGAGAATTAAGGGGCTCACCTCAGTGGGGGAATCTGGCCGCAGCGCCTCAGAGGGGGAGGTGACTGCAAACTCCTCCTACAGCTGCACAGAGCCTGCCAGTGATGAGAGGAAAAAAATTCAAGTGACTGAAGAAACCCAACCATCTTTGGTCAGCAGTGGTGGTTGTTGACACTTGGGGATGTTCCGCTCCAAAGAATGCTGCTCTGGCTGTTGCCTTCTCCTACACATCCGTGTTTTAGAGCCTCCCTGGCTCTAAAATGTTATCAGTCATAACATTTTGTACCAAAAGGAGATGCAGGGAGGGAAGCCAAAAGGACCTTAAGTTTTCATGGGCAAGGCTAAACAAAACACAAAGTTCCTCTGTGTTCAAGACTGAGGGAAATTAGCTAAATAAAGCTTTTCTGCCTTACAACAGTTTATTGCCTGAAGTTGCTCACAGGACACAGCGGAGGTCTCTGGAGCATGCATCTGGATCTCGGCTCTGGCCATTAGCAAAAAGACTTGGGGGGAAAAAGCAGATGTTCCAGACCGGAGCAGCTCTGACAAACCAGGAGGTGAGTGAAGCCTCAGGCGGCAGGATCTGCTCTTGCAGCACTGCCGTCCCAGTCGGGACGTCCCGATCCTGGGAAGCCGGGATGTCCCATGCCCAGGGCGTTATATAGAGTTATCGAGAGCTTTTCTCGAGACCGGTCCTCGCCTCCCCTAGCTGGGACATCCCTGCCGACCCCCGGAGAGGGGCTCTCCCCGCCTGCCCGGGCAGAGGAGTGCCTGGCAGGGCCGCACCGGGGCTTCTCCTCCCGCTGTGTCGCCCCCTCCGCAGGGCTGAGCTCCAGCAACAGTTCCAGCACGGCGGTAGCGGTGGGG